TAAATCTGTGTTTTTAATGTAAGTTATTCTAGTCTCAGGGAATAAACTCATAAGTCTTCCATTTTTTATGTTCTTAATAAATTTAAATAATGTAAAAATTGCATGTCCCTTGAAGATTTGAAAAAACTCATTCATAAAACAATTAGGATCTGTTGTTTTCTCATGGTGGGGGAGGATGCAGGGAGAAAAGGGTGAAATAATTTGATAACTTTTTCTGATGTTTCCACAGTTAATTATTTTCACTAAATATATTTAATACCTGTTATTCAAAAGTTTCTATTATACTTTTTCAAATAATTTTCTTTGCTATTTTTTACACATTCATTTCTCTAAATGTGGAACTATATTACTTTTACAGTTCATGTGGAGAGATTTTATATCTTTACAACACTCAAGTTCGCCTAAGGTATGTCTCTATAGTTATTCATGTTTTTTCTCAGATTCCTCAATAAAGTTTAGTACTGTTCTTTACAGAAATCTTCTATTCTTCTTGTTAATTGTTTCCTCAATCTTAATATTATATGTTTTTTTCTCTTTTTTCATTAACCCTGTAAATGGTTTGTCTGTGTCACTGATTTTGGGGGGGNTTTTTTCTCTTTTTTCATTAACCCTGTAAATGGTTTGTCTGTGTCACTGATTTTGGGGGGGAAGTAATATTTAATCATATCTACTGTTCACATATTTAGACATTATTGCTTTATTTTTCTCTCCATCAATTCCTTTCTCATTTTCTTAGTTTTATTATATTTACTTTAGTTCCTTTTGTTGAGATGTTTAATTAATTTCCAACCTTTCTTCTTTAATGATAAAATCATTCAAGGTAAGAATTTCCTCTGAATAATACTTTTGGACCTTTTCCATAGTTTTTATGTATGGTATTTAATTGCCAATTTCTAAATTTTCTATAATTGTAGTTTTGGTATCTACATTAGCAACTTGGAATTTTTTCCCCACTAAGTACTTTATTATTTGTTTCATTTGTATTAATTTTTATTTTTATACTACTGTAATTGCAGTATAATTTCTGTCTTTTTAAAATCTATTGTAGTATTTTAGACCCACAACATGATCAATATTTGAATACATTAAATAGGTATTTGAACATAATATTTTATATTTTTTATGTGTATGTATACACAAACACACTAGATCAAAGCTTATTGCTCATTCTCTAAAGTTTGACAACCACTGCCCTTATGCCTGAAAATCACCTAAGAATTTTCTAAAAAAAAAGTTTCCAGAAATTTAGTAGCTGGGAAATGACATGCAGAAATCTTCATTATTAACAAACACTTCTTGAATATACACCTTCAAACATTTGGGCCTTCAAGACACATCACATTTATTTTTTTGTTTCTGATATTTTTAAAGCTAGGTAGATAATACACATCATTGTTTTGTGATTCTAATGTAATTTTTCTTGTATTATATATATATAT